AGAAAGACACCAGAAAGCAACAAACATAGCCACACATGATAGAACGGGTCACTCCACACAAGATTACTTAGCTGGTAGCATGAAATAAACATAGCTTCACTTTGAAAAGTACAGTGCTCCTTAATATTTTACATATATACAAAATTCTGGTCATTTACTGTACAGAAATACTCAATTGCTGTCCTAGTCAGTCTGGGCTCTTCTCACCTTCCACAAGAACTGGTGTTGCTTTGCATCCTATTCAACCGAACTGGACAGACTGTGCCTCAAAACACCACTCGTCAACTTGCACAAAAATCAAGATATTTACTTGAAAATGTCTAATAAATATAATCCACATTTTCTCCTCTCTTGCTGTGCAGACCAGCTATGGAACTGATTTGCCTGGCCTTGGCACAGAGCTGTATTCCTGTTTTCAGACATACTGTATTTGGAAAATTAAATTAGGAAAATCTTTTTAATATGGTTAATGCTGTTTCCTGTTTCTCACTTTGGATGTCACACACAAAGCTAGTCCCAAAATATAGTGAATAATCAGGGTTGGAGACCATTACTAAAGAAAAAAATGAAAAAGAAAAAAAAAGTTGTGTGGTGAATGATCCGCGCAAAATGATTAAGCGTAAGTATGCACAACAATTGTGGAAATGTTTAGATACACTCAGGCATTCTTACTGTACAGAGGAATAAATGACACTGACAGTAATACTGAAAAGCCATCAGAAGGGGGCTGTATTTGATGTATATACTTTTTTTCATAACTGTTGCAACCAGCTGCTAGAGACTGGAGCCAGAGGAAGAGGAGCCCAGATTCTGGCTCCCATGTTCCCAGGGAGGAATCCCTCTTCCACAGACAGATCCGTCCACTTCATTTTAATCCTTCTTAAATTGCAACTTAGTCAGCAAAGGAAACCTGCTGGTTGCTTTGCTTTCAGTGAAGTCTACTGCAGTACTAAAATGCTACTCAGGGCCAGTATGGGCTACCACATCCAGCCCAAACTCATCAACATCATTGAAATTCGCAGACCACATCGCTTTAAAACAATGTAATGTTCCAAAGGGGCTTATCCATTCACAACGGAATACTGCTTGGCCTTCACTTTACTAATACAAATACTATTACACCCACATGGTCCACTGATGCATCAAGATAATTAAGTCCTTTCCCCCCCTTTTTTCAACAAGATTTGTTTACATATTTAATTAAGAAGTGCATCCCCAAAAGGTTAGTACATTCACATGTTATATTTCACTTTTTCCGCACCAAGCATTTTCAAACTGCTGCTGTTGCTACTATGGACTATGGTGGGGCAAGACAAATATCTGTGCATATGGCTCTTTTACAGTTTTCTTTTTAAATTATCACTTTGATTTAATTAGGTTTGAGGGGTTAAGCATAAAAAAAAAGCACTCTTTTGTTGGAAAGGAACAACTGAAACAAAAACTCATTAATACGTAGTCCCTTTAGCTTTTCTATCCACCTCTTATGCCATCGTTATTAGCCCATAAAGCTGTCTAAACCATGCTTGTCGCTACAGATAGATAGCTTGACCTTCCCTTTCGTCCCACCTACACCCCAAAAAGGTGGGGGCCACGGGCTAAGTTCTTCAAAGACTTTTAATGCCCCAAAATGGGGCGGGGTGGGAAGTAGGAAAGTGCAACAGCTGAAACCCAATCTCTGCTGATTGAAGAGCTGAAGGAAAACTTGCTCTTATGGGAGATGGCAGTGAAATGCCAGGCAGGGGTAGGTGCTTGGGTCCAGGGGTGGTTGCTCTTTCTTTCACAGTTTGGGACATTTGAATTCTCATTCTGATGTAGCTTATTACAGAGGTATAATGAATGCAGCGAATGCCAGATCAGAGTTGATTCTGGCTTGATAATCGCTCTGGCCCCATTCACCCCACTTTGAGAATTACGGGCTGTCTCCATCATTGTGGCCATTTCCTGTTCTCTCCTGATAACAGCGGAAAAATACTTAGACAGCTTCAGATAAGAAGATAAGAAATGCTAATAAAACAAAAAGTGTATTTAGCTCTGCTGAGAAGCTCACAGGAGGATGCTGAGATGCAGTGATATGAATCTCTCTGCCAGAGAGTGTGGGGGTTGGTCCAACAACTACTCAGTTAATAAATTTATTTTCCACGAGGCAATGGAAAAGGAAGGCATGAAAGCAGAAGCCCCAGCAATGCTCACAGCCTCCTTAGCCTGCTTCAAAAGATAAAGATGGTTGGGGAATGGGGAAGAAAAGCAAAACAAAAAATAATACTAGCAGCAAGTACTGGAAAAAAATGTACACGCCGTCTTTCCCTTCCCCTCTTCCCCTTTCTCAGTCCTAACTATGTGTTTGCTGTATGAAGACACCACATCAATTTTTTTCTCCTTTTCAAGGTATCACAAAAGAAGATTGAATTTTTTTGCACAGTTAAAACCAAGTCATCTGGCTCCAGACCCACTGAAAATCAAAGACCGAGACCAGTTTGGAGTGTAACTCCCATGTGTCCTATTTCTATTTCTCTCAAAGGAATGCAGCCGAAAAGACTAGAGGGGTGTTTCCATTTCGAAGGAAACAGACTGAATGGAGGATGACTTTGGAAAAGGAGGTTGGGTAAAAAGCATTTCAGTGTTCACGCATTTTTGGAAACGTATAAATGAAACAGAGGGAAAACTTTGCCCGGTGCTATATGATGAGAAAACTTCCTGAAGAGGGCATAGTTAAACTGTTGATTCATTGCCTCACTGAAGCACCACATACACACACATGAAGATCCCCATGGCAAACACCAATCAGAAAATCCCTCAGCTCTGGGAAAGATGCCAAAACCAGGTCTGCACCCGAATTCTGTGCCTGGTCCTAGCAAACGGGAAATAAAAATAAAAGCATACATGGAAAAACAAATCCAAGACGAATGACTATATCCCAGCCACATTCCCTGGATTTTCCACTCTGTTGTGAAAGTTTATCACACACCGCATGACGGGAAGCATCGCTGAAGATCTCTCTGACCCCTTCTAGGTATGTGAGCACACCTGTGTCCTGCGAGAGGTCCCACACGCGTGCCGCCCTTCACAGCGTAGGCTCAGGGGCCCTAGCTCCTCTCCCCTCATGACATTTCTGTCGCACAGCGTTGCGTTACAGAGGGTACGCGTGGAAAGGAGCAACCATCTGAAAGCGTGAGGTATGCCCTGTGGCACTGTGATGCGCACTCTGAAACAGCCGAACGCAGGGGGTCCTCTCTTCCTCACTCAGGCCATCTGTCATGCGAATTAGCCGTGTCCTGCCAGCAGAGCGGGCAGGTTCCTTTCTGCTCCAGGTCCAACTATCTGAGAGCATCTTTCCTCTTCGACACGCCCCCATCTACACAGACTGATATATACCCACTGACATCTAGGTCTACATGGACATGGTACTATTAAAACCTTCAAATACATAACAGCAAACCTGTCTTATCTCGAACATGAAACCAACCAGTGAAAGGAAACGACACGTAAGACACCGAAGAAATGCGACACGATGCATAAGGCATTTTTGTACTCTCGTTCTCTGCTACCCCCTTTTCATGACCAGATTTCTGATCTTCCTGTGAGATAAACGCCCGGTATGGGTGAGGGAACGTGACTCTGAGGATGGAGTAAGTATCAGCGGGAAACGGATTAGCACCGTTACATGTACAGACATGACGTACAGTGCATCCAGCCCACCAGCAGCAAGCCTACGGCTCCCAAAAGCCTGCCCGGGGCATCGGGAGTCAGAGCAACCAGCACTGCTCTCCTAGAGGCCGTAGAGGAGTGCACTTTGTAACGGCTGGGTGAGAGCACGGGGTCAGATCTGTGCAGTCGTCTCAAGTGCCCCTCCACAGAGATGATGGGGGAAAACCAAGCATTCTTCCACTTGCATTATGCTAACAACTCCAAATCAAAGCTTTGCTGTGTATTACTATTTCTTGGTGGCATACTTGGAAAAAAAACCAAAAACAACCCAAAACGAAACGGCTTCTAAAATTCCTTTTCTCTTGTTAACCATATAACCAGGATTTCCAAGTGCTTTAATGAACCGCACATCCTTGCTATGCGCAGCTCTGCCCACATGCAGCAGCAACCCCTCTCTCTCCAGTGCTGAGGAGGTTGTAGAAAAGTATTTCCCAGCAAAAGCCACACATTTCCACTTTAGGTCTAACTCCTGGGAAGAGAGAAGAAAAGCACCGAGAAAGTTTATCCAGCATCATCTCGCAGGAGAAAAAGCCTCCTGCTGTGGCTGTCTGCCGGGTGGGTGACACAGTGAGCCAGGGCTCTTTGTGATGCTCTCAAGACATCGCTAAACGCACTGAGAGGCAAGACATTTTCACTTGGAAAGGGGAATTTACACACGGGCGACGGGGAAAACAGATCTAGATGTACTCCAAAACCCCCGACAAGAGAGGGAAGAAAACAAAAAAAGCGAAAAAAAAAAGAAAAAAAAAAAAGCAGGAACACAGAAACGCGGTGACTCCCTTCGGGTATATCGCGGTTTAGGCACGACGAAGGAGGGTGGCGGGGGGTTGCGATGGGGGGCTCACGAACGACCGTCGCCGGCAGAGCCCCGGGGCACGGCTGTGCCGCGGCAGAGGGACGCCCGCCGCGCACCTGCCTTTCCCACGCACCTTGCCAGCCCTCCGGGGCGCACCGCCGCCGCTCCCCCGCCCCCGAGCGCCGCCGGCGGGGCTCCTTCAGCCCAGAGCCCCCCCTCCGGCCTCGGTGCCCCCGCGCTTGAGGACGGAGCGCGGGGAAACGCCTGTCCCGGCCGGGCTCAGCGACGACAGACCCGACCCGGCGGGGGCGACCGGACCCCCACCCGCCCGACCCCGGCGGGGGCCGTGCGTGCGGGGGAATGCGCTGCTTGCACATACACGCACAGGGGGAAAAGGAGAAAAAAATAAAAATCACGACATCAATTCGCCTTCTCAGCCCGCACCCGGGGGATGCCCCGGCCCCTCTCCATCCATCCATCCACGCGTCCCCCGCCTTACCTTGCGCCGCGGAGCCGGGGCGGCTGGCCCCCAGGACGGCCAGGGCGGGGAGCACCACGGTCTGCAGCAGGTATCCCAGTCCCAGCCCGCAGCGGGCCGCCGTCCCCTCCAGCCCCTTCCCCATGGCCGGGGCAGGGGGGCGGGGGGAGTCGCGCAGAGCCGCGGAGCTTTTCTGTGCCGCCTCTGCCTCCGCCGGCCCCGTCCCGCCGCCGGGCGCGGAGGGACGCGGAGGGG